CAAGCTGGGATTATATGATATATACTCACCAGCTTGAGGGGGAGTGTTAGTGAAGGGGTATTTCTGTCTTTATACTTATGTTGAGGTTGCTGATCTGTAATATTATATTAGAACTAGTGCGAACTAGTGTCCCTCACTTAAATAAGGGCACATGTGTCTTTTCCATTCTATTAATAATATAAAAACATGTTTGGCCGAATGGGAGACACTTTTTTACCCTAATCCGAACCAGACTTCTCTTCTCTCTTTTTCTCCTCCTTTCTCTCTCTCTTTCTTCCCTCTTTCTTCCTCTTTCTTCTTGATTGTTATCAGACTAACAGAATTCAAAGGCAGGCCGAATTATAACAACATGGATGGACAGAAATAGGTGTATTTCTGAACAAGAGGGATCCAGTTTTGAAACTATAGTGGGCGAGTAGAAAGGGATATGGTCAGATGGGTGTGCCTTCAAAAAGAATTTTCAGATATTAAATGACAAGATTTCAGCAATAGGTGGAGTCAAATCATTTGGATGTATGTAAAGGCTCGGTTCTCCCTATGGGGTGTAGTACTTTTACCTCTTTTTTTTGAGTTTCACCCTCTATTCTAATACAAAATTACTTTTACCTCTCTCTCAAAAAAAAAAAAAAAGAAAAGCAAAGAGAAAGAAAGAAAGAAAGAGCTTATAAGCATCCACGGGGTATCACCAAATGATTATTTGAGGGGGAAGTCTTTGGCATCCAATTTTTTTTTTTTTTTTTTTTATAAATATCTTTGGCATCCATTGCTAACCTCTCATTCCTTTAGGTTTCAATTGTCAAACTCAACAATAGAATGATGGTGACAATCTAAGACAAAAAATTCCTCTCCTTTAAACACCTTGACGTGGAGATCTGTCCCTTGATGTCCATTTTTAGCAAATTGGATGTTTCCTTCAGTATTCTTCTCCAAAGTAAAAACCACAATGTATCTATCATTTCCAAAAAACTACATTATGATGTTTTTCTCATTGAAAAAATAAAATCTAAAAGAAAACATTCCTCTCCTTCATAGTTTTCAAGGCGCCAAGGTGAGGCTGGGCGTTAGGGGGGCGCCTTGTCGCCTAGTCGCCTAGGCGATGGATTTTTTTATATAGAAAACATAGATCCTAGGGTAGTTCCCTAGGTACCATARCCATATTTCCTTAATAATTATTCATAATTTTTATAAGAAAAGTATAGAGTTCATGTTAAAGTATAGAAAATGTGTTGATTAGAGACAAAATTTTAAGTTCTTCCTTACTTATTGGTTCACGTTTTAAAGTCTTTGAGGGTTCAATACAGCATTTAGCAATGTTTGTATTGATTAAACCCTAACAAATAAGAAAATAATAAAAAGAAATTAGTATATAAACACATAAAATGAATATTTTAGTTTAATAGTGCCTATTTTATAATTATAATGTCAAAAAATAAAGAATAAAAAAGTATTTTACAATACATAGTACAAAACTGCTTGGCGATTAGGCAAGGCGAGCCTCAAAGGGCGCCTTGTCGCCTAGGCGTCACCTTGACAACTATGCTTTCCTTCAAACACATGAAGTGATCTGTCCCTTGATGTCCAGATCTAACAAACAGGACATTTCATTCAGTCTTTTTCTCTAAAGTAAAAAAACCACAATGTATCCATGGTTTCCCAAAGAGCTGCATTATGATTTTGTTCTCATTAAAAAACTGCATTGGAGTCAACCTCGATGATTTTTTTAATCATTTCAACCTCAATAAATCCTCTGAAGGTGTTGCCGGTGGCCTCAAAAGATGCTGAAAACCAATCATACTATGTGATCCAAATATTATAACTCACCATCTCATGTAACAAATGGGGATATAAATAGCTCCCTGCATGGAGTACAGGATCCTACGAGATGTTCATCTCATCAAATTGCATCATTTCCCCTTTAAGGATGTGTAGTTTCAGACTAAGAAGAGAATATGAACACAGAAAACCTTCCAATGAACTCAGAAATAAAACCCATTTAATTACCAACCCCTAACTGGGATTAAATCTGTAGATCTGCTGAAAGGGCATCGGTAAACTAGGATTTCTCTTTCTCCGATCCCCGAATCCCTGACTTTAACAACTCTTGGTCTACCCTTCATGGGTCTCATATACTAATCTTATTACAACAAATCTTTACTCTTGTCCTGTTGCCATTATTTCTATTATAGAAATCTCAGCATGTTTTTATTTCAAAAAAAAAAAAAAACTATAAACAAGCTACAGTTGTCAATTAACCGACCTGGTTTGGATTGAAGAAATAACTCAACTTTGATTGTAAAAGTAGTTTTCAGTGGGAGAAGGAGAATAGAGTAGAGAGGTGGACAGAATTCAGGCCAGAGAATCAAATGCAGGATGAAAGGTGTGCTCTGTGCAACAAAAGCACGGAAACCTCTAATCACCTTCTGATCCACTGTGGACTTACCCACTGGATTTGGGGAAAATTCTGGACTTGTTTGGGGTGAAGGTGTGCTTTCCAGCTGATGTGAAGAGTTTCCTGTTTGCTTGGTGGCAAAAGGTCTAAGTAAGGCTGGAAGAGTTGCTTGGAACACTATTCCTGCAGCTGTGTTCTGGGCAGTTTGGCATGAAAGGAACCAGAGAATCTTTGAAGGGCATCAAAATTCAAAAGAGGATGTTCTTAAAAATATTATGGGCATGTTGTGTTCATGTTTGGATAATCACTCGCTATTTGAACCTAGACATACAAGTTCTTTTTTCAACAAAGAGCTTATTTTTGGATAGTTTTTTTTTTTTTGTCTGTAAATGCTTGCTGGCTCAGTTTTTGCTTTTTGGGTTTCTGGGCTTTCCTTTAGTACAGTTTCTCATTGTACAGGGACTTGGGCTGATTGTATATCTTCATACATTTTGCAGATTAATACATTACATTACCTTTTAAAAAAGTAGAGTAGGAGAGGTGGAGAGAAGGAAGAGGAGAAGTTGGAATGAAAAGAACAGATTGTGGGGCTCAATTGAGACCTCATGTCTTTTTATACTTTAGTAATAAATGGTAAAGTTACAGGTCTGTCCCTACTCCCTAGTAATGTGGCAGCAGTTATAACACTTATGACAATTAAAAAGAGGCCCAGCCCATAATAACAGGTGCATAACTAAAGAATAAACAGAACAAAGAAATAAAAACAGCCCACCAGCACCCACTTACAAACATAAATATGCTAAAACAGAAAATTGTTCTCTTTCCTGTTGTTAATGCTAATTAAACTGACATGTTTATGATACTCTGAAGCAACTGTTCTTAATGGTATAAAGTGATTAATTACATATTTACATATAAGTCGGAATGCTATGCACCTGTAAAACTTGTGTAACTTTTAAAATATTCAATATTTCAGCGCCGCTGGATCGTGGTGAGCAATCCTAGTTTATGTGCTCTTATCTCAAAATGGCTTGGAACCGAAGCTTGGATCCGTGATGTTGACCTCTTAATGGGTTTACGAGAATATGCAACTGATGTTAATCTACATCAAGAATGGAAGATGGTATCTCTTTTATCTTCATGTCTATGCAGTTGTATTGGATCTAAAAATGTATTTGTTTGCCTCTTGTGCATGGAGTAAATTGGTCTTGTTGCAATAAATGCCTTGCCTAGGTCAGAAGGGTAAACAAAATGAGGCTTGCTGAGTACATTGAAGCAATGAGTGGTGTGAAGGTATGATGAAAGTCAACTTTAGGGATTTGAATGTTTTGGTTCATTATATTCCAACCTTTTGGGTTCAATATAATCCTTTGGATAGATTTACTTTATTGTTTTAATAAGTTGTAAGTGACAAGGTTATTGGAAGATTATTTCATCCCCATGAGTGTCCTGTTCTCAATTGCAGATTAGTGTAGATGCAATGTTTGATGTGCAAATCAAGAGAATACACGAGTACAAAAGGCAACTTCTTAACATACTTGGTATTATCCATCGGTATGACTGTATAAAGGTAGGTGGCATTTATTTCTTTTTGTCAAAGAATTTATAACGTTGTCTTAAAAATGTGAAGATGAAACAATCAAGGATTTTTTTCTACTTTGTGGTTATATTTTAAATTTCCACTCACATGGAAGTAATGCTTCTAATTGACATGGTAGACAGTTTGCCATGATTTTAGTGGATTCAGTATTTATCTCAACGTATCTGTCAATGTTGCATTTGGAGGCTATATAGAACATATATTAACTTCTGCTTTGCTTTATGTCCAATAATTTATTGCAGAACATGGAGAAGAGTGATAGGAGGAATGTTGTACCTCGTGTATGCATTGTTGGAGGAAAAGCTGCACCTGGTTATGACATTGCAAAAAAGATAATTAAACTCTGTCATGCTGTCGCAGAAAAGATCAATAATGATCCTGATATTGGAGATCTTCTAAAATTGGTATAGAAAGAAACTTAATGGATCTCATGGTTGATTCATATGTTTGTGCATGCAGATGCATTATATGAAGTTCTGCTTATTGTACCTTTACCATTTATAATATCTTTCCATAAGCATTTTAAAAGGTGCACCAGCACAGGGGAGGATCATTCTGTTAGGTGTGTGTTATCTGAATCCAGGTGCACTTTGCCTAGCTTGTTTCCATGTTTTAATGAACTAAACTTAAATCTGATGTTGAATAGGTAATTTACTAAATTGTAGGTTGTACATATGATGTTTAGAGTTAGAACTATTTAGCCAATGTTGGACTTGAACATACAAGATTTACAAGCACTATGTTATAACACAATGCTCTAATCAATTGAATTATTTGATTTTTGAAATATTTTACTAAAGTGGTTCTTTTGATTTTTTTTTTTTTTTTTTTTTTTGTGAAAGAGACACCTCACTTTGTATAGGTGTGCACTTAGGAACCTCTTGCACTTCAGTTGGATTTTTTTACAACATTTTTATATGTAAAATCATGTGCTCTTGACAAAGTTCTGGTGGTTGGGAGAAACCAGTGTTTTGAACATTGAAAACTGAATTGGATGCCAAACTGCTGGGATTGGAAGTTTGTGGTTCAACTGGTCTGGTTTGCACCACTCAAAATTGTGAATAAAGAATGTAAAGTGGAAAAAAATTAATATCTAGGGAAAAGGGAAATTTGGAAATAAACATAAATTTCATCAATGTTTTGAAAAGAAAACTGACAGTCAAGATGCCACAGGCCACAGCTGGCGATTCACTGTTCAATAATTCAGAAGTCCAGTTAGACAGTTTAAAGATGTTACACGATCTTGATGTCATGTTCTGTATTTTCAAACAATTGATAATTTGATACAGAGATGCTAGCCTTTTCCCCCCCTTCAAGTTCTTAGTGTTCCAAAAGTCAAAATCAGAGGTCCATAGAGGCTCTTGCTCAATAAGCTTTTTTCCTTATCTAGTCTCTAATAGGGATCATAGTGGATTTTACTGCATTTTTCAGATCTCTATAGGTTTATGAATAAAGGAAATTCTTCATTTTTTTTTTGGGAGGGGGGAGGGTGGGCTTATGATTAACAGGAAAGGTGAATGAGTAAAAACCATGAGATCCAGTTTAAACCTACCTTTTCATTGTTGGTTTTATCCCTCTTACCCTCCCCCTTCCCTCTGTTCACTGTAGGTCCAGGTTTCAATCTAGATCTAACAACAGATCCAGGGTTCTATTTGATTCGCTTACTTCCCCCTTCAAGTCTAGTTCCTACACTTCACCACCATTTGATCAATTAACAGAAAATTTAGTCGAGATGAAAGAAGAAATAGTCCACTTCCTCCATCCACAAGGTAGTAACACTAACTGACAAATTGAATCGATGTTACCATGAAAATTTTAAGAAATTCTCATGCAAGAAAGCACATTCAGGGAATCATATAGATTGTTCCCCTTAATTACATTTATACAAGAAAGCACAGAACACCTTTTGATTCTGACTTAGAGTAATGAAGGTATAAAAGAAAAAAAAATGAATAGTAGAGTTCTTGAAAAGAAATTTTCATTGCATTTCTTTACACACTTCAAGTGTACAAGAGTGAGAAACAAAAAGATACAATCGAGACAGCTTTATAACAACACATTTCTCTCTTCCCTTTCTTTTTGATACAAATTAAATTTCTTTCTCCTTTCTTCACGATAAGTTGTAGTCAATCAGACAAAATTCTGACAAGACTGTAGAAGGTTTTTATCACTCTGTTCTTCATCTTCTTTTGAAGGGAACCATAATCATCCTTTGGAAATAAGACTGTAGAAGGTTTAATCTCTAACCTGTCTTGATGGAGGGACCATAATCAACCATGTAAAAACACGTGGTTGTAGATAGTTTTTTTCCCTCTATTTCCTTTGTTTGAAGTAAAAAAAAAAAAAGAGAGAAGAAGGATGCATATTATGAAAGCAGAAGACACATATAGGAGGTATTTACAGATAGGACTTCTCTTCATGTACCTATATTAGTGAGATTTTCTTTTCTCTTCCCTATCTTTCCCTTCCTTTCTTATAAGACCTCTTTTCTTCTCTCTTTACTTGGGTCTTTCTTAAGAATTTCCAAGAGTGGTATGCTCTGAGATGGAATTTTCTCTGAAGAGACTTCCAATTTATCTCTAAGGATCTTAAATAGGGAATTGGGTAGTTATGCAACTACCCCTCCCCCTAGGTGAATGACACCTGGCCTTCCCACTTAAAGAGAGGGAACTCCTGTACAAGACACATTATTTAGTTTTGATGATTTAGCTAGCACACCATCCAACCTACTTATTTGGGTTATAACCTATTTTAAGTTTATTAAAAAAATCCTGCAACAATCATTTAACTCTCTGATTGGGTTTTAAATAAAAATATTTGAAATTCAATAGAAAATAAATAATTTCTACATTTTTTTCTTGAAGTAGATTGATTGTATGTAAAATGGAGATTCAATTTTTCAATTGGGTTTGGTTGAGTACCCATTTGTGGTTTTCTGTAATGTATTTGACTATTTAGGTCCAGCTGATGCTCAGAATGTTTTAATCAGTATTGTTAGCACTCCATCAAATTGATTCTTTGTGGATGACTGAGCTTGACTTCTTTAAGCTACTATGATAATAAAGTTTTACAACATTATGGTTTTTATTTGAAACACAGTCCTTCCAAATTAATTGAATGCCATGCCTTTTGTCCAGCACTATTGTATATGTGAAGTATAGTTTTTCTGATCTACACAATGAAGAGCATGATAATCAGTTTTTTTTTCTGCACCTATTTTTTCATTTAATTCATCTGACAATGAATTAATTTTATCTTTCAGGTCTTTATTCCTGATTACAACGTATCTGTTGCTGAGTTGGTGATACCAGGAAGCGACTTGTCACAACATATAAGGTTTGAGAAAAGTACAATGTGCAAATTGCTAGTAGTCCATACCAACCTTAATTTTGGTTTGAACGCTTCCTTTTCTCTATTTGGCTTACTCTAAACTTGGAAAAAACTGATATTCAGCTGGTATTTTCCATTGGAATGTATTTCATCGAAGTTTGCTGGATATAGTTGCTATTGAGTCTCATTGATTGGACTAGTTTACATTTTGCAGTCTTCTATTCGCTTGTCCTTGATACAGGCCTTCAAAATACAAAAAAGCATGTAACATTGAAGTTTCAATATTAAGCTGAAATCACTTGAGGCTTAAATATTCATATTCCTCTTTGATTTCATTTTCAGTTGGTTCATCGCACAGATTATGGAATCCTCTCACTGTTAAACTGATAATGCGCTAGCCCATTTTGTTGCTAAAATTGGTGTAGAAAAACTTATTTTTTACATGGGTGTGGTTATACCCATATTATTTACACTTTAGTTGTTAAATAGCAATATGAGGGTGGGCCTTGGTGCAAATGTTGGATTGCTCAATTTGGACCTAGGTGACCAGGGTTCAAATCTTGGAAACAGCCTCTCTGTATGTGCCAGGGGTAAGGCTGCTTACATCTGTCTCTCCCGAGACCCTGCATTGGTGGGAGCCTTGTGCACTGAGTGGCCCTTTTTTTGTTAGTAAAACATTATGCATGGAGGTGAAAGTTTGATGATTGACGGCTTAGGTTTATGCATAAATTCTACAAATCAAATTGCAAGACTAGTTATTTAGGATTGAATCACTAACTAATAAATAATTTTATATGAAATACTGTAAACTTTCTACTTATTTTACCCTTCTGACAACACTTAGAACAGACCTTGCAAGAAATAGCAGGTTGATTTCACACTAAGTTGCTAATTTTGGAAGTCTAAAACTTGTTTTAATTAGATTAAAAGAACTATACTCAAGTAGTGGAGAGGGTCTAGTTCACTCCATTACCTAAGATAGCTAGGCACAACATTGGGTTTGTTTTTTTTTT